TTCACGGATTCAGCAAAGATAGAATGGCCAAGGCTGGTCGAGAAAATTTTGAAAACCGACAACGTAACGCTATGGAGAGCTTACATTCACTTCCTACCTCCCTCTCCATGTACTCCAGTTGTCTGTTACTTTACCTGTCCCTGCTCCATACCCATTTATTATGCACCATGCCTGCAAGACCTACCTACTCCTATATGTAGGAGGTGTCAGCATGACCAACTTGCAAACTGTGAGCTGTGGATCCGTTTGCAGCTTGAACAGCATGTTGTGGCTGGAGATGGGAGTTCTACCCTGTGCATGCAAACAAGGTAAGAGTCCCTAGAAGTGAAGGGCCTAATGCAGCTATAAAAGGTTTAAGGTCACTGTTAGAAAAAATCTGGCAGTTCCTGAATTTTCCCAACCAAATTCTTTTAAGAGGTGGTTGAGGTCCTGAATTCTTACCACTGTAAGAAATCTCTCTGCTTTATAAAGTACAAAGTCATGTCCTGAGCAGCTCTAACCTGAAACACCAGAATGCCTGTGTTGGCAACAGCCAGGTTGATTTTTGTCCCTTCCCTGTCCTTGGCTGGATGCAAGCGTATTCCATACATCTCCAGCCGACGGGCAATCTCCAAAAGCTGGAAGTCAGACTCTGCTGGTGTCTGTCCCCTTGAGAAAGAAAACACAGAAGACAGACAAATTCTTCACACCTTTTAATAGAGATCAACAGGTCCTCCAGAGAACAAAGAGACACTTCATCAAAGAGACTGAAACCTGTCAAGAGGTGTAATATCTGTACAGTTCTTCTACGTCCCCAGATTTATTTCAGCGAGACCAACTTTATCTTAGTCTAAACCAATACCAAAGTATCCATAGATTTTACAGTCTATTAAAATCTTGATCACTTCAATTCTGAGACACCTGATACAGCTAGATTTTGAACCAGTAACTTTTAACAGAATTCACTACCCATCTTTGTATGTTCCATTGCAAAAACATGCTATATTCCTAAAAAAAAAAAAAAAAAAAAAAAAAAAAAAAATCACAAACAGAAGTGTGTAAGGATGTTGTTCATTGTAAAAGTGAATGCAAAATCAAAATGAAGTAAAACAGAAGACGTGAAAACATTAACACCAATGTTGGGAACCCATAAGCACTACATTAATCGTGATGAAATTATACAAAAGTTTTGATTATCACTGCTGTAGAACTCCCTGCCACTCATATCTAATTCAGTGTAGCTCAAAATGAAATCGTTCAAGTCAAGTGTTCTCAACAGCAAAAAAACCCCAACCCTTTCTATGCCTTATTTGTAATTCTTTTAACCATCTTCTTACTACTAGTCTTTTCTCCAGGCCTTAGGATACCAATTTGCATCATCATCTTGAATCCTACTCCCCCAAATCCCTAATTCTGCAAGCACTTTGTGCTTTTCCTAAAACTATCATTAAAACCCTTCTTCACCCACCTCTAAATACAGCATGGAAAGGTGAAAAACCAACATTCAATGCCCTTGAAATCAAAAAGACTGCTGTCAGAAGTGCCTGACTGATTAGTCATCATTTGCAATCATACCTGCATGCACAAAATCAGCAGTGAAGCATTTTGTATGAAATAGACTGTAAAATAATGGCATGCTTGAATGAATACCAAACTCAATTGCTCTTTAAACATCTTGCTATGATGACGGGAGAAAGGCAGGGGTAACCTTCAGGAAATTCATTGAATGTTTTTTGAGAAGTAACCTTTTAGAAACTCAGAGGTCCACATCTCTTCTGTACTTATGATCTAGCATATATTTACAGTTAGAACTACTCTAAAGGAAAAGAAGGCCAATAACAAGAACAAAAAAAGTCTTACATGTGGCTACGGTGAAATTCCATGATTTTGTCTTCTAGTGCTTCTTGCTGAGGTATATACTTGTTCTTCGCTAAGTGTTCACGATCTATGGTTTCATCAAAATCTCCAATCTCGGCTATGGAGAATTTTAAGAAAAATCTATTAAAACACTGCATTAAATCTGAACTATTCGGGCAATCCAAAAGGTGCAGACAGCTGGGAAGAGGGCAGAGAAGCAAACATAGTATCTTGCAAGCTGTGTCATGGTTTTATGATTCAGATTCCCACTATGTTATCTTCCACACATTCCTCCCTTCTCCTCTGTGTTAGTATCTGATACGTGGAAGAAGCGCAAGGATTCTTCCCGTCCACCGCAACCCAGTAAGTAGCTGTTGGATATCAACCGAACAAATGAAGTCATCACAGTGCTCCCTTGACTTGTGTGTGGGATAAGGGGAGGGAGGCGATAGGGAGGACAGCACTAATTCAGCAGAACTCATCCATCTCCCCCACATGCTCAGGTGCCTTTCTCTGGAGCAGCCAAGCACAAGCTTCCTCCCCAGGTCCATGACCCACACTGTAATCTTCAGGAGAAAAACCAAAGAGAGACGACAGTTTTGTTTGCTTGTTTGAATGCCGGCGTGTATTCCACCTCATGGGGTTACGAAACATTTGTCTTCCTCTAATTTTGCAGCAGTTTGAGACACATTCTGTCTCCCTCCTCCTCAGAGTTGCTCCCATCTGCTGCAGTTATTCAATACCGTGTGCGCAACAGTATGGCACACCCACCTTCCATTTTGCAGCGGCAATCTATGTGTGGGTGCCAGATTACTATCTTGTTGCCTGCTATTCTTGGAACGCCTCTGAAAATCTTGCTATTAGCTTTTTGACTAAACAGCGTAGCAGCCCCTGCCTGCAAACCTGCTGGAATAATAGCAACAACGCTACAACAAAGGCTGGTACCTTAATGGTGCCAGTGACATTAAAATGCAGCACCCTCAAATTAAATCCAGGTTGCAGTCAGACAGGTTATTGCGCAGTTGAGCTAGGATATCACAGACCCAAGCTCAGGTCCTTGCCTCATCCTCACCTCAGTTCTGCCCATGTGAATGATCCCTTAATCCAGTTCTGTCCTAAAATAAGCGGGTTTAGAAAAAAGAAAGGTTTCAGCCAATGTTTAAAAACTATGGGTGATTTCTGACAAAAGTTGGCCAGGGATCAGATGTAGCTGGAAATGAGGAGGGGAAGCAATAACCTTGCGTAGGCGGGGGAGATGAGGACCAAAGCATCCATGAATGACAAAGCAGTAACCTTTCAACCCAGACTGCCTGCAGCCTCACGGCGACTTTTTATACTTTGGAAGTCAGAGGTGGAAAAGAGTTGATAACTGAGACTGTCTGATTTCCACCCCCTCCCTCATCCCATCTGCTCTGAATCATTCTGTGAGACAGCAGAAATACTACAGAATCTTTGAGAATTCTTCTTTGCAAAATATCCCTTTTGTCCCCATCTCAGAATCGGTTCCCTCACTCCAGTTTTACTTGCCCCAGCGAGTCAAATCATTAGGGTCTGTTTTTAACCCTAGCTCAAATGAAAGGCAAGTTTCTCTTCTTTAATGAAGCCATAAGCCCACCTAGGTTTTCAACACCTCAAGTAACATAGGTCTTTAAAATGCAGTTCATGTCCTTGTACACGGATGGACTTAAACCGCTTTCTGTAAGGCTTTCTTCGGAGCCAGGAGCACAGGAGACTCTTATTTCACCTCAACATGATTTCTACAATGTTCTCTGCATTTGTCAACTGCAAATCCATTATCAAAATTGTCCTCCCGGCTTTCAAGTTACTTCTGAATTTGTTCCCTCTGACCTCATACTCAACAGCTTTTCCTTCTCTCCTTAGCCCTCCTTTTCTACCTTAAGTGCCTTTCTAGTAGTGCTCCCTCTAGAAAGAGGGGGAGTTATATTCGGAATAGTCAGCCTCACATGTAACGCTTCTTTCAGCCAAAGATTTCCACTGATGCTCCCTTTTCTCTTATCGTGCAAGTGCACTGCCCTATGTTGTATGCTGCCTGCATTAGTGCTTCTGGTATGTCCAGTGGTTTGTGTTTCAGCTCTTCTCCTTTAATCAGTCCGTGTTCTTACTTCACACACTCAGTTTTACTGCATCATTTGCAGTGTCAAAGCGTCCTCTCACTTCTAACACTTTCTACAATGCTTCTAAGGTATTTTTAAATAGAATGTTTCGAATATAAATTTTATTCTGTAATATACATGCTAATTTAACATAAACCTATTCACTGTCATATTATGTTTTCATATAAATAACAGTCATCGACATAAGCTTCTATATGTAATAGAAGGGCTTCCTGGTATCAGATATCCCCCCCCAGAAACCACGCATGGGCACAGCATCGGTAAGACATGCAATACCTAATCTCCTGCATTCCCAATCTTTCCACTTTGATATCATTACTCTTATCAACTGTCTAGTTTTATTTTTGTTGCAGACAAATACGGAATTGTTTTTTTTTTGCTACTGACTAATAGGCTAGAGAGAAAATAAATACAAAGCACAGCCATGCGGGTAAGATACAGCTAGAGATTCTTATCAGAGAAAATTTTCACAGGAAAATGTTCATGAGACACAAGATGGATAAATAAATGAGACAGTCACAAACTTCTAGCAGAGGTTTCTAGCAAACACTGTTACAGAAGAAAGCGACGGGGGAAAATCATAAAAAGCAAAACAAAAGTTCCCGCTTGCAGTCAGGAGATGGCGAGGGGAAGCAGCGCTGCAGGTGTGCCATGACGCACAACATCCCTCTGCCCAAAACGGCAGTTCAGATTCTGTGAATATCGTCTCACTTCTGCATGATGAATCTCTCGCTTCTCTCCTTCTCACACGATGGAAAAACTCAATTTTTCAGTTCAGAAGTATCTTACCTGACTCTCCCCATAAGGAGAGTCCTATTTGATTCCTAAAATCCCAGTTCAGAATCACTCTGCACCTTTAGCTCACAGGTGAAGGGGAGAAAGAACTAGAAAGATTTCAAATGCATCAGGATCATTTCCAGCAACTGAGGAAAATTATTTAACCCAACAGTATGATGCATCTCAGCAGCATAGGGGCAATGGTGGTGATCCGGCATTTTCGTACACTTTGAAATGAATGCTTCTTGCTGGCCTGCATAGGTGAACACTGGAGGAATTTTGAAAAAAACCTGAATTAAATTTGCATTTGATCGTGGGGAGAAGGGAAAGGGACAGCTTGTGAAGGTGAAAGTGTGTCCTGTATTTTATCCTCTTATGCTGCTGCTTTAGGAAAACAAGCTAGCAGTTGCACTCTGAGCAGTTCAGACACCAGAGCTGTAGATGGTTCAGTGAAGAACTCAATTGAATAATCAATAAGAGATGAATAAGACATGAAATAGGATCTAAATAGAAATCATAAGGAAAATAATGCATATAAAGTATAAGAGCTCAAGAGAGGATAATCATGAAGCAATACCTCAAATGAAGAGAGACACATGCATTAGGGTGTCCTCTCCCGAACATATTTCGTTGGGACACAGACAGTAGGAAAACTCACCCTCCTAGAATGCAGTGTAACAAACAATACCCCATTTCCCCCGAATGATCAAGACTTTTTTTCCTGAGATGAAAGGAAGTTAGAACTAGCTTAACTGAGGAAAGAACTACAGCTAGCGTGCTGGACACCGTAATGGGAAAAACTAAAAGACATGAAAAGCTCGCTAGTCAAGGATTTATTTTTTTTCAGACTGTGCTACAAAAATAGTCATTTTTAAAATACAGAATTTCAAAGAGGCTGTTGTACAGCTTCTTATTGCTATTCAGTCACACTGGGCAATGATGCCCATGGCAAATAGAAAAACATGCAATACCTGCCTTTCCAACGGCAATTGATGAGAAACTGCCCTAACACTCAAACAGAGCACGACAAAGGATCATGAGATTTATCTGCTCATCACTAAAGATCTTCTGAATATCTTTGTTGACTGAAATTTCCATACAACAGCACTTCAGTGGAAACATGCAATACTGAATTAATTGTACAACGACCATTCAAAGCAATGGTCTATTACGACCATTATACATGCCACTAAGTGGTTTTTCCTAACGTTATCCTCAAGATGAGTATCCATAAAGTCTTGAAATGGAAAACATACGCTGCCTTTCCAGTGATCTGGAAGCTAAAAGAAGCTTTAAGGTGACGAACAAAGTTAATGTATGATTCTACTGAATAGTCATATTGAGCATACTTTTCAGTTTAAAAAATAAAACAAAAACCACAACAAACTTAAAATCCGTTGTTTTTTTCTTCTCTATCAGTTTCCTCTTAGGACTGTGATTTAGTCTGGCATTCTAAGCATGTTTATTTACTACATTCTCTAGACAGCATACAGATCTCCGGGAATTTGAATGTTCTGCAGACATGATACAAAGTATAACAAAACAGGAATTCAGGAGAAGTAGTCAACCTGTTTGCCACTGCCTGCAGTTTGCTTTTTAAATGATCCTAGGCAGACTATCAAATGCAGTGCTTTAAAAATGCAAATTCAGTATCCAGAAGCTCTGCTTTATTTGAAAAAGTAAATTACCTATATTTGAATGCCGTTATACAGAAATACAACGAACTGTCCATATGGCTTAAACCTGGTCCCTACGACAGCTACTAACAGGTAACCCAGCAAAGCATGTGCAACCAAACATCCTGTTTATCCTCCTGGGAAAAAGAAAAAAAGGGAACTTACACTGTACTATGTGCGAGATTAAGAGGGCAGTGCTGGTATCGTTACACGTTAGCCTTCCCTGTGCCAAGTCCTGCTTCACTTGCAATGCAAACAGGTACCTGCGAAACAAAAGCCAACAGAGTTACACAGAAAAAAAAAAGAGAGGAAAGCATTTCAACACCAACTCCAGTTTTGGAGACATGTTCCTTTCACGTTTTGGAATCTACAGAAGTGATCTGAATTTCAGAAGTTTAGAGGCTAAATAAAACATAACGGATACCGAATTACAGCCATTAGAGTCTTACTTGGTGGCTGCTTTGCAGAACCGAGGTAGCCCTCTTTTTCTCTCTCTCCCTCTCTCTTTGAGCCAGAGCAATGAGATCTGGAAGCGATATGACAGTGGAAGCAAATGTGACAGCTACAAAGTACTCAGCAACTGCGAGCAGGCGGCACTAGATAATGGAGCTGCTTGTAACTATGAAGAAACGCCAGATAAACCAGTGATTTAGAGTTATCAGCTCGTTCCTGCAGAACACAAGGAGAACTCTCAGCTTCCACCCTGGCGCTCTCCTGGAAACGAGGAGCAAGATCTCGATCGAACAACTCTAGCTAGCTCTGAGACTTTTGCGGCCCCATTACCTTCACTGCCTGTGCACCAGCCATTTTTAACATATTGGCCTCCAAACCATCTCGGCCACGTAGGGCAACTCTACGTAGACAGTTTAAGTGCAGAGACAACATAGATCCCTGGCATTATTTCAACATTTAAATTTCTTCTAGCTTCAACAGGAATTGAAATTGCTTAGTTCTCCTCAGCATCAAATTCTTCCCTAGAAAAAAACGACCCAGCAGTAAGCATTTCTCCTGCAGTTGGTATGAAACCTGAACTGGTCAGACATCGTAACAAGCCTCCCAAAGACTGCCGCTCCTCTGGAGAACTGCTGCTAGGATCCTCAATAGTTTTTAGTAAGACTAGATTTTAATAGGTTCAGTGAAAAGCTCTCATTTGAACAGTGAGTATCTGAATGAGGAGATGTAGGTAAATTAAATGAAAAAGGCAAGCTGATTTGAGGAGCATGGAAACATATACCACAGATGAAATAATACAGCCTATCTAAAGAACGTCCTTTTGAAAGCTGCAGACATCTGCCTACCCATACAAAATTCAACCTAGTAGAAGAATATAGCACAAAAGTGTTGTATTCTGTGCTTTTTCAAGCGATGAAGCTGTTCTCTGTGGATATGTTTTCATACCCTACACACCGCTTTGTACATATAGTCAAGTTTCCTAACATACACATTTAAAATCTAACCAAAAAAGTCATTAGGATTCAGAGACAGATCTCCAGGTGCAGAAAGATCACCAAAAATCAATTTACAGTTCACATACTAAGAAACTGATATGCAGAATATCTATTCGTAAACGAAATGTTTCATTAGTAACATCATGTTGTGAGTTTTCATTCATTCCTTTATTGTTTTTACTCAGTCTTTCAAGTAAATATCCCTTCTTCCCACCCCACTTTTCTACTTTTCTCTGTCCAGGCCAGCAAGAGATATCAATCATTTCTTTTTTACCATTCCCTTGCTTTATTACCTAAATAAACCAAGATAAACACAGAACAAGTAGACTTGTTCTTTATAAAGCAGGTCATAAGGACACAAGAGCTCTTTGTAAGAAGAGGACTTCATCTTGTGGGAAGATTGAAAATAAAAACTAATAGTGAAAATACTGAATAAGAATGGAAAAATGGAATTTAAAAATAACAATACTGTAGATCAGAAAAAGAGTTGAGAAGTTTCACTGAAGAAATACTGCAACAAAACAATGTTTCTGACCATAAAGGAAGGACCTCCTAATGAGGAAGAACCTTAATAAGTCCCTCATACACATATTTACTCACAGAGAAATATGACTCTCTATGTCAACGCAGCATGAAATGCAGAGCTTAAGAGAAGTTTTTGAAATGCACTGAAAATAAACACACCTTTAAGGTACTCTTTCTGCCTATGTGTGTATCTTTCTCTACCTTCCTCTTACTTTTCATTTTATTCCCTCTCCTTTCCATTTCTCCATCCGTGAAGTCATAGTTCCACCTGTGCAAACCTTTGGCATTTCTGTTGGCCGTAGGCGTAGGACCCAATGCTGCTGCAACTTGGCAATTCACGCAAAACAACTCTCTCCCAAACGTTGGTGCAGTCTTGCATGTGTCCCTTCAGTGCCCCAGGGCACCAATACATGCCTTAGTCAGGCACCTTCCAACACCACTGCCAAAGGGGCTTGGAGAACTCTGTTGCCAAAGTGCCTTCTCTTGGGGTAAGCAAGGCTCTCCCAGGGCCCCAAATCCAAGGAGGCAAAGGACTCCTGCACTTTGCAGAACCTCTCAGCACAGACTGCAACAGAATCTTAGGGCCTATTTTTCAGCTGCACTCAAGGTCAGGGCAAGTAACATCAAGCTCATACTAAGAGGCAGCCATTGATCCTCACCCAACTGTCTCAAATGCCATGTTCTCCCCTCCGTCCACGAAGGATTTAATAAAAAGAAATAGTCATGCAGCTACTAACCTTGTCAGTTCCTCCTGCAGCTGAGCGTGGTCAGGTGGGAAGAATTTTACCACAAATTTTACAACAACGTGCTTCGGTCCTAGGGGAAATGTCAAAGGGAGATAGTGATCATCTGTAACACACTGGCCAAATTTTATTACACAGAATGATGTACAAGGGATGGTTCATGGAACCGGTGCACGCATACATGCTAACCTTCCATCCTTTGTTAGTATTTGGGTTACTTAGAGATTGCACGATAAAATTTACACACAATAAAAGAGAACAGTAACTTGGTGGAGAGATACTCTGCCATAATCGTGTCTAACTGATGTAATTACTAAAAATAATCTAATAAAAATATATTATATGTGTCTATTTTCCTTGCTTCAGAACAGGAGGGAGCTAAAATACACTCTATTTTTCAAGTCCACTAGCAAATTATAATTTCTGTTTTAACAGCAGCACATTTGTTCTGACTCGTACACATATGCCCAGTGACAAAAGGAGCAATGCATCGCTCTCTCCTGAGAAGGAGAGGTGCCAGAGCATACACTCAGACTAATATGACCAGAGAGGCACCTAGGAAAATGTAATCTCAAGGGCAAAGCTCAATAAATTAAGAACTTTGCTGATATTTGACAGAGATACAAGATCACCAAACCCTTTCCTGTTAATTTCTATTCTTCCCAGAGCTGATGGCTGTTTACAAATCCCTTTTGGCTCCCGCCAGCCACCAAAACTTTCCCTGATACCCCTAACCCAACTGTTTCCTCCTCTTGGTCTCAGACAAGTTCCAAGTTCTGCAGCAACGTCCCAGAGAGCTGTAAAATATTTGCTAGCTCCTTCCCAGCAATAATGTCTTCCTCTTCTTTTTCTTTTGTCCTGATTACTGTTACCTTTTGGAAATGTGTGCTTCCTTTAATCCTTCTTTTACTGTATGCTTTTTTTTTTCCTCTCTACAAAACCGTTTCCTCCACTGCCACCACTGACTAAACCTTTCACTCCTACTGGGTCAGCCCCTTCATATGTTCATGTGACAATTCCACAGCACACACAGTTCATCTTTTAAGGACAGAACGGAAATAAAAAATAATCCAAACAAAATTCAGTGAAGAAAGTGAGAAGATAAAGATCTCAACTGACAGAGCCCTCGTTTATTCAAGTACTCTCAGATTGACAAAATAAACGACAGCAAGGAAGTACTTACTTCTAATCTGTTTCATAACAGGCTTCAAAAGATCAAGCCACACCTGAAAACAAAAAAAGATGGTGTTATCATCTCTGAACAAACTAGCACTTGTAAAGGAGCATTTTTCATTGCACTACTTAGGTTTTCATTTACTTATTTATTTTTTCCAGCATCATCATCACACTCTCCCTAATTATATGTAGCGGATTTTCTTGTCTCAGATACCAACGATCATGGCACGTTTGGTCAGGAACCATTCATTTTGTGGAAAGAAGTTCAGAAGAAGACAGTCCTAAATGGTCATTGTGGTCCTCACCTGAATTAATCTTGAGAAAGGCAAGTGAAAGGGGCTGGTGCTTGCCTTTGAGCCAGGAATGCTGGGTAAACAGAGAAATGAGAAGGCAGCAGCCTCTTGGTTTTGGGGACCCAACAGGAGTCCCACCGTGAGGTCTGGGCATAAACCCAGAGCTCCCCCCCCCACCTCGGCCCCAGTGAGATAAGCTCCCAGACACAGCACAGAGCACGGGCGGGAGGAACCTTACTTTATAGCTGTGTGACATTTTCTCTTTTTCTATAAAGCTGGGAAGCTTATGCCTAGGATTTCTTAATTGGAGCAGTGTAACTTCTGCACATCATTTACTTCCACCTGGTTTTTAACAACCCATTTTTCAGGATGGTGTGTGGGTCTTTCCTTCAGCTTTCGAAAGAGAAGCAGTGGGTGGAAATAAAGAGTTTTCAGAGCCTAAACCCCTGTTTTGCAGTCTCCGTCAGAAGGGCCTGGGCAAAATATTACGGGAAGCTGAGAGACAATCAGGCAGAAGGTGAAAGCCAAATAACTCGCAGGGTCTGGAGAAGTGCAACAGCTCACAGTCCTCAGCTGGTAACTAACTATGCCCAAGATTTGTATTTTGTTATCTCACTAAATTGCACGGAGCCTCCCTTGGAGACGTCTGGAATTTGTGGAGGAACATCCTACAATCATCACAAAGGTTAAAGCCATTAAAAACTGAATTAACCAAGCCTTCCTCCAGAAAAAAAGAATATGTATTGAAATGAATACATCTTCAACCTTTAATAATTTTAGATTATGCAGAGACTGAAACATATTCAAAATATCCATTTTAGAAAAATCACCTGAGAAGCCAGACAGGAACAGGCCTGTATCGCTGCTATAACTGCTTCAATGCTCTCTGCTATTTTCATCTTTACTAATATGAGTGCTTCCAACCAGCAAAGACCTCACATTCCTGCCCTTTCACACCCACAAACGCTTCTCAATGGAATTCTTTTTATGTTTCTCAGCCTATGGAAGTTGGTTTGGTTTTTTTTTTTTCAGAAGGACTAAAGAAACTTGGTTATCCAAGAATAGGAACACAGTGTTTATCACACGTTAAACTCGTTCTGACACTTTTTGGCATTTCAGTAACTTAAAACTGTTCCATTTCAGAAAGTTGGCATGTACATAATCTGCAACGAAGGTCAGGGACTTTGCCAAGTTTAGTGGGAAAAAAAAAATAATCTTGAACATGAAACAGCCAGTTTACAAGAATATGGGAGTAATGTATATTACTTGAAACAAAAAAAAAAAAAAACAAAAAAAAATCTTCTCTCCCCCTCCAGAGGGAGTTTTTGATACAGCATGAACACACCAGCGTGTCATTCATTCCTTCCTCCACTTTCCCAATCATCCTACAAGCAAGTTACAACGTCCTGGACCAGACAGCTGGATACTAAAAATGTGTGTATTGAACATGTGTAGGGAGAAGGGTGGGGCAAAATTAAGACCTTGCCACTATCACCAAACCCAAGCAATCAAAACTTATGCATCATGCAACTCCCACGCTGTATCTACACACAGCCAATCTGAGACTGGCTTATAAAGTGGAAACGAAAAATAACGTGAGGATTCAATTAAGAGCCATGTTTTCAATTTTCTCTGGAACTACAATGGCTAGATTATTTATTTTTTTTAAACAAAGTCTGGCATTCCACAATAGTGACCAGATTTCAGCAGCTGGAGAACCGGGGTAGACATGAAGTGTGATGAAATTCTGTGAAACCCCAGGCTTGGCAATGGTGCCTCATTTCTCCTTGTCCCAGCAGGAAGCGCAGCCCTCAGACCCTCCATGTTTATCTCCCGTGCAGATCTTGTCTGCTACAAGCACGGCACGCTTGAATGTATACAGCTGCCGGGCATCTTGACATACAACTGTCAATATGTCAGTCAGGAGGTCTGGAGCCTTGCACGTGGAAACAAACACAGCTGAACTATGAATATATGACTTCACGTACATATTATTACATCCAAACAAATATGCTCTAAATATTTATTTTTCCTTTTACATTGCACTCTACATTGGAAAAGCAACTCATTCTCTTCAGATGATACGAATGTAAAATATGCACGTGTGTTTTATTTCTCAGACACACCATTAACTGCAATTTTTTTTTTTTTAATTTGCACAATGCTCGAGTTCTACATTATGGCCATTATGAAGCTCAGAAAGTTTTAAATCCCACAGGAACATTCACCTCAATGGCATCGTATAAATTTAAGTGCAAACATTACTCTCAGATTGCTGCTCCACATTGAAACAACGATTCATAATCAAATCTCCTGCTTCAGAGTTTCTGTGAGTGGCTTTCACGTGGTCAAAGGCATTACCTCCACCGAATCTCACCATTCTTGGGGCACAGCTGACTAGATGTGGGCAAGATTCGGGGATCTCCCCCTTTTTCAGAAGCAGGGAGCAGAACATGGACCGTTGCTCTCAGATACTTGGCTAATATTTCCTTTTGCAAGAGTAGGAGCCAGGTGAGTTACCACGATCGATGCACAGAGGCATTTTCCTTCAGGTCAAACTGGCAATAGCCTTAGGGGGTTTTCTCTACCTTTGTCTTCATCAGATCCCTGAGTCCCCCACTGTGATCGTCTGGACACATTTCCAGCCAGTCCCTGCCACTGCGAGGGCCTTGGGCACTGGCAGCACCTCAATCTCTCCTGTGTTCTGCCTCGAGCAAATAAACCATTTTGTTTTTACAAGACTGAAAATTGTTAGTTTACTTCAGGTCTCTGAGCAAAACACAGAGGGTCATCTATTTGAAACTTAATGACCTGTAAAGCAGAGAAGGTTGATCGAATGACCTTCTCTATTTTCTAGAAAACTAAAAAGCAACTGTATATACACAAGATGTTAGGATTTTTTTCATCTTTACATACATACCTACATCAGGAATGTCAGTGTGTCATTATTAACATGGCTACATGGACCCTCTCTTGCAATAGTATTGTACTGTTGCACTGTTTTGAAGAGTTACGCTAAGTTCTCAAGTTACCTAAACCATTAGCCAAGGGTATCTGGCAGAAGACAAAGCTTTCTAGTAATCTGCATTTCATGTAAATCCAGGACCAAACTGTGAAGCAGATCACTTTTAAAGATCAATGTCCATTTTTTAAAATTTCCTCTTTAATTATAGTTATCTTCAAACGTTATGCCCACTAGTGCTCAGTATTAGTGTCTATGTAAGCCTGCACTAAGGCATGACAACGGATTACTGCAGCAGCAGATAAATCCCCTTTTGTTTCTTTTGTGAAGAAATATTGCTCCTTACAGAAATTTTATATAGATGGGCAGAAACCAGATTTTTTTTTCTAATTGCCCACAGTCACCTCCTTTAGGTCAGCCAGGCTACTGGTGCCAGAATTCACTGAACAGGCAAGAAATCCAGTATACACCAGAATGCACTGGTCAAACAATCCAGATAACGAGCACACATGCCAGTAGGTCACATAGTAAGTCTAAAGGAAAACAAACTTCAGAAAGAAAGTCATTAGAGGCTGAGAAGTCATTAGCCTTTGGCTTTCTCTGCTACATGATAGTGTTTCCACCCTAGAAGTACGAGTGCGATGCCTGCACATTACCAGCAGCTGTTCTCAGCATCCAAAGTGACAGGACCAGGACACCTGCCTGTGCCACACAGCTCCCCAGACAGGACTTTCATCAGTTTATTAGGTTTTTTGTTCTTGATTTCTTTTTTTATTAACCTCATATTTTATCCATCCATTTTCTTGCCCCACGATGTTTTTCATGGGACTATGTCACAATCATTGCATCTTCTCTGTCTGTGGAGAAAGGTTTTACTATTCCTGCACTCCAAATTAAGCAGGATTGTATAATGATAGTAGAGACTGCAACAGTGCAGCCTTTGGCTTCTCTACTGCAACTGGTAAAGATAAAATGCTTTTCCAACTTGTGTCTGAATTGGCTGCTACTTTCAGCACAGATGAAATCTGACAGGAGTAATCAGGTTTTAAAAACATTTCTTCAACTCTGGCAGGCAAGAACATTTTTAAAATAGAGTCCTTTTTTTCTTTCGGAGATTGAGGATTAAACAGACTTTGTAAGTAAGGAGCAGGAGGAGAGAATAACAGTGTGTATGTAGATGAAAATCAGCTGAAAATTAATCCTTTTACATACCATCATCTTTTTATGATCTGGAAACTCAAGGCCAAAATAGTCGCCTTCAACAAGGTTCAGGTGGTTGCAAACAGCATCATGCAGAACTTTCCCCGGAGCTCTTTGCTGTATGAAGAAAAGACACCCTAGGGTTACAAAGATGCTTTTAATTAGTGGCAGAAAAATTACTATGCCAAGAAATTGTCCAGCAAACAACGCTGTCAAAACAGTTTACAAAATGAGTGGATATTCCAGCCATACCCACAGGGCAGCTGACAATAATTACGCTAATTTTAAAGCTATGGAAAATATCCATCCATCCCTGGACGGCAGCTCAGAATCAGTCTTTAGTGCATTTTTATTTCTGAGGGAGAAACACTATGAAATGAAAGAGGTAGAAGAGGGGGACTTGGGATATAGAATCATAGAATCGTCTAGGTTGGAAAAGACCTTTAAGATCATCAAGTCCAACCGTTACCCTAAGCCTGCCATCCCACCACTAAACCATGTCCCTAAGCACCTCATCTAGCCTTCTTTTAAATACCTCCAGGGATGGGGACTTGACCACCTCCCTGGGCAGCCCACTCCAGAGCCTGACAACCCTTTCTGCGAAGAAATTTTTCCTAATGCCCAACCTAAACCTGCCCTGGCGCAACTTCAGACCATTCCCCCTTTGTCCTAACGCCCATTACCTGGGAGAAGAAGCCAACCCCCACCTCGCTACACCCTCCTTTCAGGTAGTTGCAGAGGGCCGTAAGGTCTCCCCTCAGTTTCCTCACATCTGCCATGTAACTATGCAATGCAGTAAGGTGACAGTCTCTATATTGCTACTTTGGAAGACAGCTAGTTCATCCCGTGGCCCTTCAAGCCGCGTCAAGCGGTGCTGCGTACGTCTCCGTACAACATACCGAAACCAGAACGCTCACCCACAGACCTACGATACAAAACACAAGGGTCCAGGGGTTTGCTAGACGCCGCTTGACACACAACAGGCTCAAGCCCCGGGTTCTGACTTGTGGCGTAATCCTGAGCCGCCTGCTGCGAGGCACGGGGGTTGGGCACGGCCCGCCTGTGCTACCCTAACAGAGCTCTCAAGTAATTCGGAGGAGTCAAGAGCGAGCGTTTCCTTCCACACACTGCAAGTCTTCCCTCTATAAAGACCAGATGTTCTAGCCCAGTATTAGCTCCCAGAGCCGCCTGTTTGCTGATTGTAAGGATTCTCTTCTCCTCAGCGCATCAGTTAAATCCACACCTGCAGCAAATACTGTAAATTACAGCTCACCAGCAAGTCTTCAGCAAAAAACACTATTTCTATATAAAAAGGCCAATCACTGAAATCAAATATTTTTGTTCCTTGGACAAATGCACCTTTTTTAACTCAAGAGGCCCTGAAACACACATCTCCACTCACTTCAGAACAAGTAACAACCCATTAAACGGCACAAACTCCACTGTTAAAAAAGACCCATCACACCCCAGACAAGTGCCCTTGCACTCAACCTACAGATTGGCCCTTTCCCTGTCTGCCCAGTAAATAATTACTAGAGCAAAATAAACCAGCAGTAAGCGAGTGAAGAAAAGAAAACCAAACCATTAGAGGTGGGGAGTCCAGCAGACCTGGCTCAAACCTGAGCCCAGGTCCTGGCATCTCCAGACAGTGCCCGTACCAACAGGCTACATGCGAGAGGGCAGCTGCTCAATCCCACCTCCTCCCAGATATACGTCAGTACAAAGTTTGGTCTCTGTTTCACTGGGACACCAAAAAAAAAAAAAAAAAATCCCCAGGTTTCTTCCACCGAGGGCAACACCTGGTTTCCAGCCACAACCCTAAGTACAAAGCATCTTTCCAAGGGCAATTTATCTAACATTGTCTAAAGTGAATTGCAAAGAGTAAACTCCCAGTAGCAAGGCTTGCATCAGAGAAATTAAAAGGATGATGTTTTTCTAGGGAAGGCACAGGATCTACGTGCCACCACAGCAGGGTGATCTGCTGTCACCCCAGTGATGCAGGACATGATGACCGAACCCTTCAACGCTGGCTGGTTTTGAAAGTCGGAAGGGAAAAGCCAAGCTCACCTCCCCAAGAGCTTGCTGAGCAGGTTTTTACCCAACATACTCCCAGTGCCTCTAACCTATGCCACCAGGAAGCAATGGTCACTTAGATGATTTTATTAACTATTAGTGTTAGCTGTAGCAAACATTAGCTTCAGGAATATTGTCAGAAAACAGATCAAGAATGATTGCAAGTAGGAGTACTCATTTTTTTAAGTGTTCATCATAACCAAGCTTGCAGTAACTAAAGTAATTCACACCAAAATGCCAAATAAGAGGATACAGAGAGGGAGAAAAAAAAAAAAAAAAAAAAAAAAAAAAAAAAGGCATACATCTTTCTCTACACAGACCACTTTTGAACTGACGTAATGCCATCCAAAATAAATCTCAAGTGCAAATATATTTGAATACATTCTATGTTCTCCAGCTAAAGCATCCCCAGTGACCACCACCCAGCCCACTCCAGCCATCGCACCTCGTGTGTCAGTTCTAGCAGAAAGCTTCCCACATTTTCCACTCCATCTATTGCTCATCCAAACCTACATAGTATCTTAATGAAAGAGCTTCCCAGTAAGTGCATTTTGTTGGAAGCAATTGAGTAATACTAAAAAGACATTAGATCGAGTGTGATAACAATATTAGTTTACTACTCTGAAAATGTACCTCAGAAATTATTTAGAAAATTCAGGCAAATGCTCCTGCTCCCAGACTAGTCTTGGGCCCCCTCAGTTTGGCTGGGGCTGCTGGAGAGTGGAAGGACGTGCTTTACAGCTACCCTCACAGCACGAGGCAGAGGATATTGCCTTCCTCCGAATGCACAACCAGTAAAATAGAAACATGCCTGTGCATACGTATGTATATGTCTTACTAAAGTACCTGATGGACTCCTGTCTGACAAAGACCAAACTTCATTGTTCCTCCTGAGAAAAAAAAAAAAAGTGCCTCTGGGAATGTGGAGATTTTTGACCAACAGGGAAAAAAGGCAGAGAGCCCACCTGTGTTACCACACCGTCCAAAGTTAGCTGAGGAGAGCAAGCCTGCCTGATCTCAGACCGTGAGTAAAAGCATCTGATTACATCCCGCTGAGTGTTTAAGTTTTTTTCTTACAGTCATTTAGAAGATGGAACGGCAGTCTTGCAGCATTTATGTCATTTGGCATTTTCTCTGGAATGTGCCTCGGTAACATGAAATACTTCTTACTTGAGTATTTGTAAATAAGATTATCGTTCTAAACTCATCTTAGCTTTGATCAGTCTACCTCAAAATAAAATGACAGTTTATTCAAGGGAAACTGTGGATATAAAATCAGCTGAGATTTAGAGCCTGATGACACTACGGTCTTGCAGGACCAGAAGAACTACAACATCCACAAAAGCAGGATCTCTCCAGTCTCACAGAGATGTTGATTCAGTGCAGTTCCATGACATCCCTACTAAAAAATTTAAACACAATAAATTAAAATCTCAGTCTGCTGGGTATGGAAGCAAACCAGCAGTCATTCAGGTCACAGCAAACATGAGCTAACAGAGGAAGCATTCAGGAATGAGTGCACCACACCAATGACATCATCTGTAGCCAACAGTTGCGTCTGACTTGAACGTGGTTACCAGGCCTATGGGACAACACAAGATTTCCCCAGAACTTGGAAGACATTTTCCAACCATCAAGTGTGGTCCTGCTGCCATGCCTCAGACAGTGAGTGCAAGGCAAACTTCATCAGCTCCCGCCCCACAGCCCTGCAGCTGCATCCATGTCCCAGAAACCACAGCTTGGATGCTTTCCCTGCTCCATGCTGGCACGGGTCTGATTGCAGAGTGGGGAAAGGCTGCACTACAGCCTATGCTATAGAAAGGTCTTTCCCTGTCATGGTGAGAAAGCACAGGCCCATTACATGACCATCACGAGAGCCTCATACACTGGGATGAGGGAGGGTCATCAATGTGGCCAAACGTGGAGGACATGGGAAAGGAGAGCCAGGAGACCGATCTCCCACTCTCCCTCAGCATCACCGAATGAGAGCTCGCACCAGGGATGGAAAAAAATGACCCGAAGGTGAAGACCAAAGGAGGAGGATGAGGCATGCAAGCAGGACATTGACATGGAAGCTGCCACAATGAAGGCTGGTGGCAAGACTACACCTCCAGACCATTTGCTACCACAGGTGCCACACCGTAAGGCAGCGAGGGATAGGAAACAGGAGGGTACGGTATACCAGTGGAATACAACTCGGGGAAGATCACGTGCAACACCCAGGAGCTGGGAAGCAGCTGCAGTGGGCGGCAGTCCCCTGCTCCCGTTTTTGTTGATGGCCAGATTCTTCTATCACCGATGAAGAAATATCGCCGCTCCAGAGGGCAATCTTCCCGCCCCGAGGCAGCCAGCTGAGCCAACGGCAATGAACTTTTCCTTAGCAGCACGGTTGTACTCCTTTACTCTTGACAACAAGGAGCCCAGACACCTGTGTTACAGGGTTCATTTTGGATGAGGTGAATCCCAGCCTTACTGACAGCAGGGAATTACTGTTATTCTCTTGAGGTGATATTTAGTTACTCCAAAAGAACATTATAAATTTATTGCAGTGAAAAGAAGCTCACTGATATCCAGCTACACATCCTTATTGCTTAATGCATTTTGAACTGGCCTTTCATTTAGCTCTGTGAAATCACATTTTAAAAGTCACTTTACATTTTCTGGGAACGTCAGGCCACTAAGTTCTAAATTATGAATCATGTGCATCACCACATTTAGCTGCAAGCTATGAAGGTACCCAGTCAAAGTAGCCTGCTTTACGCATTGTGCATCCAACATTTGCTGTCTGCTCATTATTTCAGTTCTACTCAATTCACCCTCTCTCTTCTCCCACCAAAACAGTACGTTGCTTATGATCTTCCAGTGGTGAATATTTTAATAGGTTCAAAACTAGACAAGAAAAAAGAAAAAAAAAAAAAAAAAAAAAGGCATACATCTTTCTCTACACAGACCACTTTTGAACTGACGTAATGCCATCCAAAATAAATCTCAAGTGCAAATATATTTGAATACACTCTATGTTCTCCAGCTAAAGCATCCCCAGT